CCCATTGATGGATGAATGGATAAAGAAAATGTGGTATATACGATGAAATATTTATCCATAAAAGAGAAGAAAATCTTGCCATTTTCGACAACATATGGATGGACCTTGAAGACATTATGCTAAATGAAATGTCAGATAGAGAAAGACAAATATCATATGATCTCCCTTATATGTAGAATCTAAAAAAAACCAAAAAACAAAAAACAAAACTGAGCTCATAGATTCAGAGAACAGATTGGTGATCGCTGGAGGGAAGTTTTGGGGGTAGTGGAATGAGTGAAGATAGTCAAAAGGCACAAACTTCTAGTTATAAAATAAGTAAGTCCTGGGGATGTAATATACAGCATGGTGACTGTAGTTAATAATACTGTATTGTATATTCGAAAGTTGCTAAGAGAGTAGATATTGAGTTCTCACCACAGAGAAAGACATTGTAATTATGTGTGGTGATGGATGCTAACTAGACTTATTGTGGTGATTATTTCACACTACATTCAGATATCAAATCATTATGTTGTGCACCTGAAACTAATATAATGTTATATGTCAATTATATCTCAATTAAAAAAAGAAAGAAAAAAACTGAACAGACTGAACATCAATTCTTCTTAGGTCCATCAGACTATTGAGGTCACAGGGCAAACTGCTGTGCTGGAAACTGGAGAGACAGATGATTCTGCTAGAGCTAAAACTGGTAGGAGCACTTAAACTTTAATGGACAAATTGCTAGAGGCTCAGTATGGATTAGCTTGAAAGTTGAAAACTCTGATGAGGGGACAGTCTTATGAAGTCCCTAATACTTCTTTGAATTTTACCTCCAGAAGCCCCATAGGTCTCACTGTTGGAGATCAGAGAAAAATCTCCTTTTCCTTCCAGCAGTGCAAGGGGAAGAGTAACCATTTTCAGGTACCCCAGAGCTCTCTGTTCTTCATAGGGTGTCCCTCAAGGAAAATGATTTTCTCAGAACCTAACCAGTGTGGTTTTTGCTAAATCCTAACTTCCTTAGGGGGAAGGAAATACCCAAATTCATACCCTTGTACATGGAGGAAGAAAAGTACCCAACTCTAGTTCACTGTAGCCTTCCTGTCTCACTTCAGAGTGATGGTATCACAGAAATAATTGAGAAGGTCACATACCAGAGACATTCACTAAAAGACTGAGACCTAATCATAGGTCTGTAATATACTTATCTTCCCCCTCACAACTTAGCACCACATCAGTAAGACTCCTATATAATATCAGGGGAATCCAGCCCGAAGAACTGCAAGCCTGAGACCCTATTTAAGAAAGAGTCTGTAGAGGAAGCCAAAGACAAGACGGGAGACAAAAATAAGGATACCAGAGTAAATTTTTTACCTCTGACACCATAGCTACAGCAAATAGAAAACACTGCCTAAATCAAACCCAGATAAACATAAAACCTCACAGTAGAAGTTTATCTATCAGTTTCTGTTACTCAAGACATTGTGTCTGGCTCTCAACAAAAAATTACAAGACATGCTACAAAGCAAAATAAGCATCCCATCTGAAAAAAAAAAAAAAAAACCCAAACCAAAACCAAAATCAAACTCTTCTGAAGAGACAAAGGAAGCATCAGATCTAGACTCAGATATGGTAGAGATTTTAGAATAATCAGACTGGGAATTTAAAATAATTATGATTAGTATTATAAGGGATCTAATGGGGAAAAAAATGAACAAGGTGCAAGAACAAGGGTAATATAAGGGGAAGTGGACACTTAAGAATCAAAAGCAAATGCTAGAAATCTAAAACATTGTAGCAAAAATTAAGAATGTCATTGATGGGCTCATCTGTAGACTGGGCATGGTGCAAAAAAGAATCAAGAGAGCTCAACAATGTGTCAGTAGAAACTGTCCAAACTAAAAAGCAAAGAGAAAAAGAGCATGAAAAAAATGGAATAGAATATCTAAGAACTTTGGGACAATTATCAACTTTTTAGGTGTAATAAATTTTATCAATAATTAATCACTTTTCAAAACAGAAAGCACCAGGCCCAGTTGGGTTCAGTGGCGAATTCTACCAAACATTTAAAAGGGAAATTTCACCAACTCAGTCTCTTGCAGAAAACAGAAACAGAGGGAAAACTTCCTAACTTATTCTATGAGGCCATCATGACTCAACGCCCAAACCAATGACCATATGAGAAAGGGAGTGACAGGCTACTATCTCTCAGAGCATAGATACAAAAATACAAAATATTACCAAATTAAATCCAAAATGTATATAAAGACTTATACACCATGACCATGTGAGGGTTTTCCAAGGTATGCAAGGCTGTTTACTATCTGAAAATAATGTAATCCATCACATCAATAAGCTAAAGAAGAAATCATAAAATCATATCAGTATATATAGGAAAAGCATTGAACAGATATCAACATTCATTCGTAATAAAAACTCTCAGCAAAGTAAGAGGGGAGCTGTCTCAACTCGATAGAGAATATCTACAAAATACCCACAGCTAACATCATATTCAGTGGCGAGTAACAAATGCTTTCCACTTAAGATCAGGAACAAGACAAGTATGTCCATTTTCACCACTTACTTTAATTCAGTGTCATACTGTAAATCCTAGCAAATGCAATATAAAACAAGAAAATGAAATAAAAGATGTATAGTTTGGGGGAAGAAAAAAACTGTCATTCACAGATGACATGACTGTAGAAAATCCCAATGAATAAACAACAACAAAAACACAAAAATTCATAGAATTATTAAATCATTAAGCAAAGTTTCAGCACATAAGTTTAATATAGAAAATTCACTTGACTTCCTATGTACCAGCAATGAACAACTTGAATTTGAAAACAGAACGCCATTAACATTAGCACACAAAAAAAGAAAGCAATACTTAGGTATATATGTAACAAAATATTTACAGGATCTGAATGAGGAAAACTATAAAACTATAAAAAAATCAAAGATGATCTAAATAAATGGGAGAAAATCAATGTTCGTTTACAGGAAGTCTCAATATTGTTAAGATGTCACTTCTTTCCATATTGATTTATAGATCCAACACCATTTTAATCAAAATTCCAGGAAGTTACTTTGTGGATTTCAACAAGCTTATTCTAAATTTCATATTGAAAGAAAACATATTCAGAATTTTCAACACGATATTGAAGGAAAAGAACAAAGTTAGGATAATGACACTACCCAACTTTTCAAGACTCATTGTAAAGCTACAATAATCAAGACAGTATGGTATTGGCAAAAGAACAGATAAATATTTTATTCAATAGAACAAAATAGCAGAGAAATAGACCACACAGATAGTCAACAGATCTTTGACAAAGGAGCAAAGGCAATGCAATAGAAAAAGAATAGTCTTTTCAACAAATGGTGCTGGAACAACTGGAACAACATCCACATGCAAAAAAAAAAATCTAGACACTTATCTTACAGCTTTAAAATTAACTCAAAATATCACAGACCTAAATGTAAAATGAAAAACTGTAAAACTTCTAGAAGATAACACAAGAAAAAAATCTTTGTGATCTTGGGTTTGGCAATGAGTTTTTAGATACAATACCAAAAGCATGATCCATGAAAGAAATAACTGATAAATTGGACTTCGTTAGAATTAAAAACTTCTGCTCTGGGAAAGGCACTGTTAGATGAATGAAAAGATGAGGAACAGAGTGAGAGGAAATATTTGCAAAACACGTCTTGTAAAGAACTGGTATTCAGTGTATACCAATGATACTTAAAACTCAGCAATAAGAAAATAACTCAGCTAAAAGTGGGCAAAGGATGTGAACAGACACCTCACCAATTGTTATGAAGATGGAAGATAAGCATATGAAAAGATTGTAAATATTATATGCAAATTATATGTAAATATATGCAAACTAAAACAAGATACCACTACACACCTGTAAAAATGGCTAAAATTCAAATCACTGATAACATCCCATATGTTAGAATGTGGAATAACAGGAACTCTCATTCATTGCTCATGGTAATGCAAAACAGTGTAGCTATTTTGTAAGTTTCTTACCATATGATCCAGCAATTGCATTTCTAGATATTTATCCAAATGAGTTGAAAACATATCCACTCAAAAATCTGAAACATCAATGTTTATAGCAGCTTTATTCATGATTGCCAACAATTGGAAGCAACCATGATGTCTTTTAATAAGTGAATGAATAAATTGGTATATCCATACAATGGAATATTATTCAAAGATCAAAGAAAATGGGTTATCAAGCCATGAAAAGGCACAGAAGAACCTTAAATACATATTGCTAAGTAAAAGAAGCCAATCCCAAAGACAGGCTGCATGCTGTATAATTCCAACTATGTGGCATTTTGGAAAAGGCAAAACTACAGAGAAAGTAAAAAGATAAGTGATTGCCAGGGGCTTGAGGGGCTTGAGGGGCTTGAGGGAGGAGGGAAGGGGTGAATAGGTAGAGCACAGGGGATTTGGGGTGCAGTGAAACTATTCTTTATGATACTGTAATACACAGAATTGTACAACACAAAGAGTGAATCCTAATGTAAACCATGGACTTTAGTTAATAATATATTGATATTGTTCATCAGTTGTAACAGGGGCTTGTATCTTAAATGTATTACACCATTTAAGATGTCACTATTAGGAGAAACTGTTGGGGGAGAAGGAGAGGGAGTAGCTGGGAACTCTGGACTTACTGTTCAATTTTTCCATAAACCTAAACTGCTCTAAAAATAAATTATATTAATTTAAGTAAAAAGAGGACACAATTTTGGGAGTGATGGATATATTGATTATCTTGGTTGTGGTGATGGTTTCATAGGTGTACATGTGTCTAAACGTTTAAACTATACATTTAAAATATGTGCAATTTACTGTATGCAACTATATTTCAATCAAGCTGATAAAAAACACACTACACACACACACACACTCAGAGACATGTACTTCATTTGGAGGCTGTTTTCCTGATGAAAAGGGAACTAACTCAGCTGGTATACGCCTTTGGCCCTTTGTGCTATACCTTCTCCTCCTGGAACGTGGACACAGTGTTTACTGAGGTAAAAGCCTTTGAGACCATGAGAATAAAGGTCATGAGAAAAGTTTGAAGAATCAAAAAGGCAGAAGGAACCTGGGACGTTGGTGATTTTTGGAACCACCATATCAGCCTTATAGTGCCTAGGTCAGGAATTCTTGTTTGGAGAAAAAATATACTATTTGGTTAAGCCACTGCAGTTAGTTTCTCTTATAAGGAACTAAAGTTAGCAGTTCCTAACTGACATAGTGCTATTCATTAGTTGTGTTTACAAATTATTTCGAAAAGAAAACGAACAGAAAGAAATCTTAATTACTGGAAATATAACTTTTTCCAAATCTTTCTATAATGAAATATAATTCTGTTCCTAGAGATTGCTTGGATATGGCCAGGGACCACTACTAAGTTGTAAAAGGAATGGATGAAGAAATTTTCTTCAGGGATTTTTACCCTGAAGAAAAGCCTGGATGTTAAGGAAGGTGATAGGTATCCTCGACTAGCTGAAGAACTTTCAAATGGAATGGCCACTGGATTTATGTCTGGCTATAAGAAATATAATACACATGCGAAAGGCTCCTGGAAGCAATATAATGTTATGTGGCGGAACTTTTAAATCCATGTCAAAAATATGCAAAGATGAAGTAAGCTGTGATTGGTGTAGAGTTTTGTGATGTGTTCAAGCCTAGGCTGAATAAATATTCGGCAGGAGATTTTGTCTTTATTTTCCAAATAATATAATCGAAAATATTCAAGTGAATAATTTTGTCAGATAATTTTGTCAGCAAATCTGGAATCCAGAACATGGTTTCAAAGATAGTACTTTTTTCATTAAACCGCATCATCCCCAGGAGATGACCACAAAGAAGATTTAAATAATAGATGAGAGCTTAATTAAAGGAGCTTTAAGGTAGCTTCCCAGAGTGCAATTACACATTTCTTAGAGGAAAGGTGAAAAAATTTAGAGTATTACATATATTTAAAATAAGGCTATATTTTACATTTAAGGATCTGTTAATCACAGTGAAGTCTTTATACTTACTAGTAGTCCTGGTTCTGGAAGAGGAGAAGGCCTTGCAAACTGTTTATTAAGTTTCCTCTTCTGTTTCTTTAGGTTTCGCATGTTCTGAATACGTTTATCCATGGCCTTTTGGAAAATTAAAAGAAAACAAATCGTACTTTTTATATCAAAAGGTAATATGCTGATTATATTTTTGGTTTATGTCACTAAAAAAGGATAAACACAATTAGTGCATAAAGTTTACATAGCTACATAGAAGTAGGAAAAAATCGTTTTCAAACATGTGGTTTGTAGATGAAGAAAACACATTAGACCATTAGTAGAGTTTTCAAATGAGACTGCTTACTCTCGATTCACACTTTACTGACTGTGTAAGATAGATCCAAGATTCATGGATATAGGTATTTATTTTTAGTTTAAAGGTAATGTTCATTAAAAACCCCCAAGGGATTTTTTGGGGTGGGGCTAATAAGGAAACAATCCATGTACATTATTTCTCTTAAATGCTTCATATCATACAAAGCTTTTTTTTATGTCCCCATTATATGGCATATTAAGTAGCAGAGACCTAGGGGACCAAACTGGAATGCTTTGAAGATAGTGAAATAGAGTATTAGGATGACAAGGATATGAATAATAGGAACTTTTACCCACTGCCAATGGAAATGCATTGGTACAATTTAAAAAACAACAACAACAACAACAATTTGGCATTATTTAATAACAATGAAAAATTAGCTTTCCCTATGATCCAGCCATTTACTCCTGCCTAAATAATCACGTGAAACTCTTGTTCATGGGCAAAAACAAAAAAACAAAAATATGTACTAGAATGTTCACAGTAGCACTGTTCGTTACAGGAAAATGTGTAAACTACCCACTATCCATCAACAGGAGAAGGGATTGATGAACTGAGATGTGTTCTACAAGGAAATATGAAACAGTGAAAACGAAGGAATTATAATTCTACACAACAATGTGTATGAATGAATACACATTGTGGATGAATCTTAGGAGACCATTTTGAGAAGAATAAATTATACACCAAATTTTGTGTGATCATATGTTTATAAAGTTCAAAAGTAAGCAAATCAAACAATATACTTTGAGGCACATATGTGATAAACTATTTTTAAAAAACGAGATTGATAAAAATAAAATCCAAGATAGTGGTTACCTCTGAGAGAGATGTAGGGAGATAGAATAGAGAAGCAGCCCCTGAATGAGTTCAAGGACACCTAGAACGTTTTCTTGAGTCGGAGGTATGTTTTATTATTCTGTTTTACAAATTAAATATTCTGCATATATTCTCGTATATGTATGAAATATTACATTAAAAAAAGAGTATAAGCTATTTAGGTTATCCTAGTTAAGACTAACTCTAATGGTAGTCACAAGATCCAAGAGTCCCAAGAAAGATAACACAGAAGTGTCTAGCTAATAAAAATTCTGTCATAGTAGGGACTACCACATATAAAGTTACAAGATCAAGTCCCAATTTTGAAATACCCATAATTATTTATTTAAACATTACCTGCCTTTCAGTGACTTCTGAAGGATGATGCCGTCTTGGTCCTTCCTACAAAATATGTAAAATAATTTTAAAGAAAACGCAGAAAAATCATGAATAAACAGAAAGATGAGTTATAACAGAAAGCCTATGCTACTGTTCTTTATTTATGTAACATACATATTATCTCAACTGCAAGAGGCAGGATCAGAGGAATATTAAAGTAAAAATCAGGGTGGAGATTGGCAATGGTAGTATGAGAAAAAAGAACCACATTACAGGTGTGAAAATTAACAAAGGGGAAGCTCATTTAAAGTGGAGTCGGGAGGCCAGAAAAGGGCGCCATCATGCACTACCACCTGTCGTCAATTACAGACCCTTATCAGGAAGAACTCAGTTATGGACCTCAGCTGGAAGAGACATGTCTTGCAAGCTGGTACTACTTTACCACTCCAGCAGGAGAAGGAAGGTTTTCCTTGCCCAGCACCTCAGTGGATGAGAAACCAGCACCAATCTGAATTTTCCTTCAAAACAATCCCTCCCAACTTACTCCTTTTTCTTTATAAAGTTCCTCGCCTTTGTGTGTTGGATTTGCCTATAGTTTTTGCTTGCCTATAGTTATAGCATGCTTGTCCAGAATTGCAATTCTCTGCTATTCCCTAATCCATTTTGCTGGTAAGATAATTGGCGATTTTATTTTTTTAGAACAATACAGGAAACGTATAGAGATTAGCTCTGGAGGAAAAGTATATACAGAAAATCCAGAGAGTCGTGTTTCTTCTGTTGGTACGTGACTTCAGTGGTGTCACACTGATCTTCGCTTAACGAACTGGTCTTTAGTCTGGCTTCTAAAACCTGGGAAAGCTGCGGTGTTTGAGAAACCCCATCAGGTGGTATAGTTTTCTGAGGCACAGGCAGGTTGGCTTTTAGTTCATGGATTCTCACTTCTCCCCCTAACTTCTAAATTGTACCATACTTACCCCTCCTATCATTTTGATCCAGTTGTTTAACCCAAAGACTCAAAAGCAGTCTCCTCCCTATTTGACTACTGAGAAGTTTATCCTCCCCACTACACCTCTCTAACCCCACCCCACCTTCTAGGGCGGCTCAATGGGTTAGTCAACAGATGATTGAATGTGTATGGCTCCTTAGTAGGCGCGAGGCCTTCCCCCGTCCTTGGTTTGCCCTGTAGCCCAGCATCTGGTCCGTTTACTTCACCAGGATTTCCCAACACCCAGCACCGCACGTGCAGTGGCCGAAAGCTCGAGCAGCTGCCATGGCCTCCAGGCTCAAGGCGTGGGCAGGGGTGGTCGAGGTGGGGTTAAGGGCGAAGGACTCACGGGGTTGACTTGGGTACTTTCGTTCCCTAAACAGTGCAGGCACATGCTTCTGAGCCGCAGAGCGCCCCTGGCGCCCACTGCCTGATCCCCACACACTGCATGCGAGCCCCACCCCGACCCATCACAATTCTCTTTATCCTTGCCCCATGGGCCCCACCCTTTCCCTGAACTATTTTCTAATCCCAGTGCAGGGATGGTGAAATCCTTAGCTGTTCAGAAAGCATCTGAGGAATTAGGGTTGCCAGGTTACCACAATTCCCTGCTCAAGGTGTAACCACATAGTATCAGTTTTCCATCTTACTAACATATCTAGCTTGGATTCCATGGTTCCTCACTTCAGAGTTCTTAATTCCAGCATCTCATTGTTCTTTCATCACAGCTTCCAGTTGGATTTATCCAACCACACGCCTTCTCCCTGAGCTGAAGGGAGAAAAACCTGAAGATTGCTGCACTACGTGTTCATGATCTGCAGCTTAAACTGTCCTCTCCAGAGTTGACCACTTCTTTTATGTTGCACTAGATCTTTCTGTTATTGTGTTTTACAGAATTCCTTTCAAACTGTCTTCCTGCTATTAAAATCTCTGAACCCACCAGCTCTCAGGCACTTTCACCGAAAGCAGGACAACTCTTGCTCTACACACTGATAACGGCTGACACATGGAGAGCTTATGCTCAGCATTGTTAGACGAATTTACATATGTTCACTCATCAACTCCTTACGACAACCCAGCAGGGTAAGTGTGTGATTATTATTATCTGGGAAACAAGGCACTGGTATGTTAAATACCTTGTTCAAGGTTACACAACTAGAGGTTGAGCTGGGATTTAAATCCACAAAGTCAGCCTGCAAAGCCTGTGATCTTAATCACTGTGCTATGCCTCCAATTGTTTTTGAAAGCCCAGACTGGAGAAAAGAAAGCCTCTTCAATAAATGGTGCTGGGAAAATTGAAAAGCCGCATGCAAAAGAATGCAAATAGACTGCTCTCTGTTACCATACACCAAAATGAACTCAGAATGGATCAAAGACCTAAATAAAAGACCTTAAACAATAAATTGCATGGAAGAAAACCTAGGTACTAAACTCATAGATCTTGGATTTAGAAAGGATTTTATGAATTTGACCTCAAAGGCAAGGAAGTAAAAGCAAAAATAAATGAATGGGATTATATCAAACTAAAAAGCTTCTGTACAGCAAAAGAAACCATCAACAACACAAAGAGGCAACAACTGAATGAGAAGATATTTGCAAACAACACCTCAGATAAAGGGCTGATATCAAAAATATATAAAGAACTCATACAACCCAACAATAAAAAAAAACCCAAAACAATCCAATTAAACGAGCAAAGGGCCTGAACAGACACTTCTCCCAAGAAGACATACAAACGGCCAACAGACATATGAAAAGATACTCAACTTCACTACTTATTAGGAAAATGCAAATCAAAATCACAGTGAGATAGTATCCAATATCTGTTAGAATAGCTGTCATCAACAGGACAAATAATAACAAGCGTTGGAGAGGTTGTGGGGGAAAAGGAACCCTCATACACTGCTGGTGGGAATATAAATTGGTACAGCCACCATGGAAAACAGTATGGAGGTTCCTCAAAAAAGTTAAGAATAGAAGTATCATAGAAGTATCAGCAATCTCTCTTCTAGGTATCTACCAAAAATTTGAAAACATCCATAAAGATATATGTACCCCGATATCCATTGCAGCATTATTCATAGTGGCCAATGGGAATAACCAAAGTGCCCTTTGATAGATGATTGGATAAAAAAAGCTGTGGTACATACATACAATGGACCATTACTCAGCCATAAGAAAAGATGAAATACTGCCATTTGCAACAACATGGGTGGATCTCGAGATTATCATGCTAAATGAATTGTCACAGAAAGAGTTGAGAACCATATGATTTCACTTTTATGTGGGATATCAAACTGAAAGCAATAAAGGGACAAGACAAACAAACTCTTAGACACAGAAAGCAGTTTAGTGGTTACCAGAAGGAAAGCAGGGAGTGGGAGAGGTTGAAAGGGGGTCAAGGAAGGAAAGAAAGAAATTTAACTTCGGGTGATGAACACACAATACAATATACACATGACATGTTACTGTACACTTGAAACATTTGATTTTATTAACCAATATCACCCCAATAAATTTATTATAATAACAATAAAAGCCTAGACTGTTGCTACCCCAATTCCTTACCACCTATCACCTTGTTTGTATCCACATTATCCTTTTCCCTGTTTGAAATAAATCTCTCTGCTTTTGTTCTCAGGCCATTTCCCTCCTAGAGATCTTACTGCACAGACTGCTCCCTCTCCGTTACCCTCTTTATACTGCCTCTTTCCTTTAAACATTTAAATACTATATGCTCAAATCTTCCTCTCTTCAAACTAAAAACCCAAAGCCTTTGAACAACAACTAATTATAACTATTGCCCATCCTCTTTGTCTACAGTAATATTCATAAGAGTTATCCGCAATTCCCATATCCTCTTCTTTACATCCAGTGTAATATATGGCTCACTGCAACCTGCTTCAATCCTTACCACCTTATTGATAACCGTTTCAGAATGGTCACTAATGATCTTCCAAAAAGAACACTTTGGCCACGTGACTTTTGCATAGTGTTGGAAACTGCAGAGAGATCTCTTAGAAAAGTTAGACTTAGAGAAATTACTGTTGCCCACTGAAGTTCTCAAAACCACAGACCACTCCCACATCCAGTTATGTGTCTCATTTCCTGTCTGAGCAAAATTTAATAACTTTGTTTTATATCTTAAAGTGGCTGTTTCATAATGCAAGTAAGATTAGCTTGTTAGGATGTTTCTATACTCCTGCTGGTGTTTTTATTAACTTTCTCGGTGATGAAATGCACAGTGATGAAATCAGGTAAAATAGCATTGCATTTGTAAATGCTATATCTGTATCTTGTATTTGCTCTTCTCTTGCTGTTTTAAAATTCTTAATTTTTAAGCACTGTTTTAAAATTTTTAATTTTTAAGGCTCTTTATTTTCATTTGACACTGGGAACTACAAATTGTGCAGGTGGTCTTGAACCTACCCTACAAAGTATGTGAGAAATTTATTTTTCTCCTATCTATCTATCTATCTATCTATCTATCTATCTATCTATCTATCTATCTATCCATCCATCCATCCATCCATCTAATCTATCTAATCTATCTAATCTATCATCTATCATCTATCATCTACTATCTACCTACCTGTCATCTATCTATCTTTCTAATGAACACCTGACACACAATAGCATTTAATGTCATTTTTATTATTATTTCCATGTACTAAGTTTACTGCAGTTTTTCTCTTTTCTATACCTGTGCAGTTAATTTGTGAAATCTAGGTTGTAAACTTTTTAAATTTGTTAAGTTACATCCTTTTAGATTCAACTTGTCATTTCATCCTGTTCTTCCCTGTAGGACAGCATCTCCATGTCTTCTGATTAAATCAGCATGTTATGTCATCCAAATTTGTGATGAAAACATTGCACATAACAGAGCTGAAAAGAATGCTTTGCAGCAAAACACACAAGGCTGCACTGCAGGTTCAATAATTATTTACCAGTACCTGTTAGTAGAATTGTTTATTCCATTACAAATTCACTCTAATATCAACTAGTTCTGATTATATCCATCTCATCCACAGCAATATCATGACTTTTTCATTGATATTGCTGGAATCTAGATATGCCTTATGTTACTACTTCATATTGAAAATTGTTCAGTAAATTTCTCCCTTACTTGAATATTAACTTAGACAAAATTCTAGAGTTAATATTGCACAAAGAAATCAATGAAGGAGTTAAACTATGGAGAAAAAAATCCAGCATTTTTTTTGGACTGTTTTATATTTCATGGGTTAGTATGTTAGTTTTCTATTGCTGCTATTACAAATAGCCGAAACACAATGGCTTAGAACAACAGAAGTTTATTCTTTCACAGTTCTGGAGGCCAGAAGTCTGCAATCAAGGTGTCAGCAAGACCTTGCTTTCCCTGAGGGCTCTGGGTAGAACCATTTCCTTGACTTGTCCACCTTCCCTTGGCTGCCTGCATTTATTGGCTTGAAGTCACATCATTCCAATCTGTGTTTCCATCTTCATTTGTCTTTCTCTTTTGTGTGTATCTAATCTCTCTTTTTGCTTCTTGTGATGGTATTTAGGGCCCACCCAGATAATCCAGGATAATCTCATCTCAAAATCCTTAACTTAATCATATGTGCAACAACTCTTTTTCCAAATAAGGCACCTTTAATAGGTTTCACATATTAGGATGTGGACATATCTTTGAGAAGAGTTATTAACATACCACAGATAATCTTGCCTTTTAATTTTGAATTACATGTAGGAAAGACAATATACATTTTCATCTTTAGGGATACTACATAGCTTAACCTGACACTGGATAGGGATTAATTTCACCTGCTCCTCCTTTTCCCCACAAGGACCTGCTTCTTCTTTCTACCACCTGGAGCTGTAACTCCTCACTTCTGTGGTGCAGAGCTAGATAGCATCACACTTAATGTCTCTAAGTCAGTGGTCCCAAACCTTTTTGGCACCAGGGACCGGTGCTCCTATGAGAATCTAATACCTGATGATCTGAGGTGGAGCTGAGGCCAGGATGCTAGCGCTGGGGAGAGGCTGAAAATACAGATGAAACTTCGCTCACTTGCCCACCATTCACCTCCTGCTGTGCGACCCTTTTCCTAATAGGCCACGGATTTGTACTGGTCTGATGCCTGGGGGTTAGGGACCCCTGCTTTTGGTTATTGGACCATTGCAAAGAAAGCAGTTAACCAGTCATTGCAGTTAGAATGCTGGAGGTAGCAAGTGATGTCTTTTGCCATTTAGTACCTATGAGAAATTGTCTTTGACAGTATCTTTATGGCACATATCCTGTTTGATATGACATAAATCATATGTCATTGTATCTGGTTTCTGAATTCCTTCTGGTCTAGCAGATAAGTCAGGGCTCTGATTGAGGCTGCATACAGGAATGAGCCCACAGAGGTG